GTTTTTGGATGAGGCGAGGAAGTGGGGTGTCAGAAATTGGCCTGGAGGTATTCTGGATAAGTGTGCGTGGTAACATTGGCTGTTGATTGAATGGGGGTGGTTGTTGGTAGTAGTAATATTAGTGCATAGTTATAATAGAATCGAAGAGATAAGATTCTAAAAAAATTGGGCTACGTTGATGTTCTTGCTCAAATGTTCTTTATCCATTTGAAGGATACGTGCCTGTTCAACAGTTGGGGCAATATTGATGCTCATTATGTAAAGCTGAGTTCCAAGACACTTGGTCACGAAGTCGGGGACAAAATAACGAACTATGATCTATCTATTCAGCTTATTCGATACCCCATAGAAACATTCCACCTACATAGCATCAAGTAATCAAAATCCGTAGATCTTCAAGCGATCACAGCCTAACCAACCACCCGCCTTCAACGCCCCCATTCATCATTTCAAACACTGAACTGGTACGACAATCCCAGAAAAATCAAACCCGGATAGCACTTTGCGAATGACCGATTAACATGCAACCTCAATAACCATCAAATGGAACTCCTCTGGTTGGCGAGAGGGAAAGTGCTCCTATTCGCAGCCAGCGAATTTTGTTGCCCTGTTATTCTTGGGCTTTCGTGTCGCGCGCAAGCATTAAACAAATTACAGAACAGGAAAAACAGAAAATACTCCTGTCCGGAATCGGCTACTTCTTCGTGATGAAGATTGAGGAAGTGGATCGTCACTCATGGATGCGTGGTTAGGCTTTTGATCGGCTTCGAATCTTGATTTCTCTCTTTGGAGAATACGTCTTCTTCTTCTGTGGGGCGAAACGAGTTCCTGTTCGGCGACGCGAAAGGGATTATAGTTGCGAAGTCATTTTACGATTTTCATCGATTTCCAATGTCATAACGCATAAACTGTTAGAAGAATCAAAATAATCAAATAGATATAATGACTTAATGATAAGGAACTTCTTAAAATACTAGTTAGATATATGTATATATATATATACATATATATCAATCGTGAAATTATCCATTCACCGTACACGATCCTCAATCCCTCCCTAACGAGTCATGACGGATCTTCTTACGCATCTCGTAAACCTATGAATAGAAACAAACGAAAACTTGAAGCCAAGGGTCTTCAGTCAGATTGATGTAAGATAAGTCATCGTTGTCGGCGACCTGAGTGAGGTCTTACCTAAAGTTAAGCGAAGTCGCCGGCCACATCAGCAGCGCCTCACAACAATGCGGCGAAGCCAGACGCCACATCTCGGAGTATCACCGCGTTCGCGAGGGACTACAGTATTCTCTTATTCCACTGCTTCAAGTTGATAGACGTGGATACGTGGCCCCGGGCGGGTGTAACTAAATCTATGTGAAAACCTCCATTTGATGTCGTAGTGCACGAATCTATACTCCGGACCGCTTCCCCAGAGCTTGCGTAACGTGGAATTGCCGCGCGAGCATGTGTGACAAGAGTAGGTAAATATTGTGCAGGTGTAGCGAGAAGGTTTTCGATCTTATATTTTCCTACTTGAAGCAAGACTTTTTACGGGATTCAACGGCTTCTGAGCCAATTTGATGGACATGGGATGGGATGGTCTTGTTTTTGAGGTGGGGGACGTCGGTGGGGTGGCTGCATCTCGTCGGCGACCTCGACGCTTGAAATCGTCCCCTTTGAGCTGTGGCGCAAAATTTGAACCTCATTGTTAGTTTCTAGAGTTTAATCCTTCGCATTAGTTTGTCATCATGATGTATGTAAATACGCATGTGAAATGGCTTTCTAGGGAGTTGGATTGTGCCGTGCTGTTTTCACCTTTTTGTTACCATTTTTGCTTTGGCTGCACGGAATGAATACTCTTGGCCACTGCATGCTTCAACTTCAGGACGTACCACTGATATCCAATTTCAAGCAGTGATTTACTTTAATTTTTTTGTTACACTCGATTCTTCTATTCTGCTTTCGATGGATACAGAATTTCTAATCCCCCGTAGCACAGCATCTCCCTCTCAATCGTCAGGTCCAGAATCTAGACATTTTCCGGAACAAAATACCGTTTCTTCCACGTACGCCGCTTGTCGAATCAAGCACCTGAAGTGTGGTGGTCTGCAGGTTTGCTCTCGATGTGCAACGCAAGGACTAGAGTGTATTTATTTGAAGTCTAGACGTGGTTACATAGGACCAGTAGCGAATCGTAGGGATTTATCCGTGATGAGCAGCAGTAGTGAGTTGAACACGAGATGAATTAAACGAAGAGACTGACTAAAGAGAAGGGATAAACAACAAAGCAGATAGTAGTATTGGTGCTGGCCATAGCGTCAAGCCGATCGACAGCTTAGAAATGGCAACAGTGTTATGTGAGCCAACCTCAATGTTCGATTTCGTACTGGTCAACCAAAGTTGGGCTTCGATACAGCCCACAATTGCCAGCCCCGACATAGATCTCCGGCGAAGATGTACAGAAGCGTTTTTCCGATACTTCTATGACGCTCATCCGTTTTTACTTCCAAGACAGCGGTATCTCGAAAGTTCAAAAGAAGGTCCTCCTAGAGAGCATCTGGAGACAGCCATAGCCTACATTGGATCGCGATATGTGAAAGGAGCTCCCCAAAGCGCCTTTTCACTTGAATTGGACTGCTTTGTCTTGCAACACAATCTTCCAAGGATTGTGTCCACAGTCCAGGCCATGCTTCTATTCGCTATAGGTCTTGACGGTAACAATGAGGGGAAGAAAGCCGTCGAGGTTCTGATTAAGGCACAAAGATTCGCCTTGGATCTCGGCATGAACCAACGAGAGTATGCTGTTGTCAATGGAGGAGGCGCGTTTCTTTGTGAGGAAAGTATTCGAAGGACTTGGTGGGAATTGTATGTCGTGAGCGTGATTGTAGCCGCGCTGCATGGAAATCGAGTCTTTCAATTATCGGGTGTCATCTCCACAACACCTTTGCCATGTGGAACAGACGACTTTGCAAATGGAGTGGGTACTTCGTTACTGTTGCGTAACACATCAGCTAATTATCTCAGGTTACACCACAGCTGTACACAATTGAAGAATTTGATGAACATTCTTTTCTCGATCCGGAGGTTGAGTGGTCATCTTGTGCTTACCGGATAGCGGCTGCCAGAAATCTCAAACGTATACTCGAGACAGATAGCCTTGTGTTTTTGGATGATGCGCTCATTTGTATTCTCGATGCGATTCTAGTGAATTGGAATCTACACCTTCCGCTATCAAAAGTAGCAAGCTACGATCAATCAGGGACCTTCGATGAAATGATTTTCCAAGCCCATATGATCACTGAACTGTACGTAATTCTGTAACAAGAAATGAAGAAGAGGATGCCATGGGCCTAACTTATAACAGAAGTTCCTTACTGCTTCACCGGCGATTCATTTCTCTCGACGCAACTGCAACACAAAACATAGTCTCTTACACGCCGCAAGGAACGGTTCAAGCGTACTGTTCTGGTTTTAATAACATCCACACCAGCAAGGCCACCCAAGCAGCGTCAAACATCAGCAAATTGGTCGGCATGCCTACTCCTCTCATAAATCATACTCAATTCTTTATCCGCGCACTGACGCACTCCTCGATATCTCATGTGTCGCTCTGGTCGCACCTACCTCTTTTGGCAGCCGACGAAAACTTGAAAGAAGAAATAAGGATGAATGCCGGTGCTCTGAGGGAAATGGGGATGGTGTGGCCAGCTGCGCAAATGGCGTATAGCCAGGTGACCAATGCTGCGGCAAAAGTGTTTGAGTCGAGGAGAGATGCCGTTGGAAATGCGTTCGGGAGGGATTTGATTGGAAGCGAAATTATTGATGCGTCCTTGGACTTGGACTGTTTCACCATCGGCATTACGGATGTAAATCCTTGATACAATAACACAATAGCACATATACCGGCTGAATCAGTACGAGCAGTAAAGTTGATAGCTCGTATTCTTTGAGTCATGCATGCCTAGAATTGTCTGGATCCGTTACCTCCGATTTCGCAATTTCTCCTATTGGCCAATTATTTCGGCGAGTACGAATAGGAGACTCTACTTAGAAAATAATCTCGTGTGACATAATAACTTGCATACTCGAAAAGTTGAGAAGGATTATGTATGTGGAAATCTGGTAATATATGTCAATTAACTTACAAGTAGCTTACGAGTAATCACAATTTTCAGTGAATCAGAAGTGGTCTCCCATGTTCTGACTATTAGCGCCTTTATTTAATGAATTTTGAATATAATCACTCACTCTACGGGTAGTTGTGCAACTCTAGTAACCTCCTCCTCGTCTTCTACTATAACTGATTCTTATAACTCTTGTTACACGAGGATGAGTATATAGAGACTAATCAGAACCATTCATTTCAGTTATAGAAGTGTAAAGAGCTCTCACATGGACTGTAAAATAGCACACCTATAGAGAGGGAATACTACTAGATCTACTTACTTCGAAGCTGTTTACGGGCGTGGTCCGGCTATACGGAGTGGAGACGTTGAAATACTCCTTTGAGCGAGGCGGCTGCCTCCTACATGATCCGTTTTCAGCTACACACGGTAAAAGTGTCCTATCTACAGTCCATGCGCTAGTAGTAAGGAAGTACCTGAAATCATGAAGACATAAATCTACTTTCTCTGGTATACTAGTCGGAATCTCCGGTTCGCATTTGTATGATCGCAGAATTAGAACAAAAATCGGTCAATAGGAGGCGGCGCGGTTGACTAGCGGGAAAAATTCGGAGGTAACAGATCGACCCATTTTGCCCATTTTGCCGCTTGCAACCGAAATGAGATTGTGATGATTCAAACGAAAAACAAAACTAAACAAAAAAGGGGGGCGTTGGAAGGAAGAGTGATGGCAAAACATGTCGAATTCCATATCACTTGAGCATATCAAAATGAGATGATAAGCCTCCAGTTGATTCAAAGGCCAAGGCGGAAATTCAAACCACATCTATAATCAATTGGAAGCATGGAAAAAAGAAGAATAAAAAATTAACCCTGATTTTCCGAAACGGGGAATTGAACCCCGGTCTCCTGCGTATCTGTATTGAGAGGCAGAAATGCTAGCCACTACACCATTCCGGATGAATGAGTGAGGGAGGCCTTATTAACATATATATTTCTGTTTCTTATCTGCAGGGCTTCAACAGTGATGGCTTCGCTTCTGTAAGCGAATGAGGTGGATATTAGGTTGTATGTATGTATTGCGGGGATGAGACAGTTGGGGCGCCGAGGAGATTACAGTTTGGCGGGTAATCGTCAGTTCGGCCGTCCAACAGACCAACAGAAGAAAAAGACTAATCATGCCTTGAACTCCTACCAGCCCTACGTTTGGGGGTATTGTTTAAACTGTAGCACAGACCATCATCATCAAACATGCCACCGAGAACGGCTGGTGGAAGTCTACGTTACGAATATGTATGTGTCCTATGGGAACACAAGGTCGACGAATGGACGATTAATAATACGAGTAAAAGTCTACGTAGCTTACTCGAGTGAAGAGTGCAGCTTTCGTACTGGGCTAACAGTGGAGATGTCACCATGCAGTGACGTGCTTGTGACACAATGAATAATATACTTGAGTTTAGGGGTAAATGAAAAAGGGAGAAAAGATGGAGAAAATGGGACGATCAAGTCATGTAGCGCGAGGGGCAAAAGACGGATGAACGCACCGAGCAGTGACAAGCTTTGGTCTTTCTTGATCCGTGCTGGTGACTGGCGTCCATTCGACCATCTGTATGGTTGAAACTCAAAACCAGTTGTCGTCCTATGCAGGAACCATCACGAGAAAGAGGCTATTCCAATTCGGGAACGGACGTCTCCGGATGCCCTCCTAAATGTACCAAAACCGAATTGCCTATGAGTTCTGATTATAACGAGACTTGGGTTCAGTACAGAACACTATAATTTCAATGTAAATGACTCTTAACTAGCAACATTTCCGTCTCGATCAAGACACTCTGCATGTACCGATTGAAATTGAAGTAATAGATTTAATTATTCTACGTGTTTATTCCGGTATTTTGGTAGGGTGGCCCAGGCTTTCCGGAGACGTCTTTCATGAATTGGGAGTCAATTGGAATAGCCTCGGAACTGGAACGTCGGGTTCTGGGTCAGAGAATGGCTGCTTCAGCCGCCGGAAAAACGAAGCGTATTTCTTGTGATTATCGTCACAAACCTGCGAAAGTTATGGTAAGGTTGAGAGGCCTTGTGGAATATCAGGACCAAGACTGCCGGTCCTTGATCCCAATTCCTGCGGCTTGGCCCCTAAGTTGTAACCTTACTCCTAAATTATACCCTGCCTGTCACTTGTCAAACATCAAACTGGTCCCGAAATTTGTTCCGAATGTCGTGCCTACGGAGTAAACACGACTCGAGCCCACAAAACCCAATATGGTAATCTTTCTACGGAGGGAGCCCCGATTCGTAGGGTAATTCCGGGTTACCCACTTGAGGCCTTTGGAAATAACTGGAGTCAATAGGTTCAAGTTGTCTCGAAGCACCCTATCAGGGCAAACAGCGCGAACAATACTTTCATTTGGACGAGAGTTTGCTTTCCACTGAAGATAATATCGATGCCGTCCGTACGGCAGCCTTCTACTCTACACTGATTAATTTCATCGATGTTCGGGTTGTTTTAAGGTTAGCGTCTTGGTAAAGCGTACCCCTGTAGAGAATAATCTCCATACTGAGCCCCGGCAAAAGTCTGTTGAGTTAATGCCATGGAAAGCTTCGAATATGCCGCTTCCAGAACATACTTTGTTTCCATAAGGCTTACTCTCCTTTAGAATTTATCCGCCATGTTGATACCTTGGATAAGCTTAAGAGTCATGGGCCACAAGGCGCACCTACTCCGCATATATCGCACTTGGGGAGACAGTCATGCCGCTTCCCTTATTAGATAATTGACTTGGAATAATCGCTAAAAGATATAGGCAGTGGCGAACATTAGTACTTCTGAGGAGGCGAATACGCTTCGGAACAGTACGTCAGTCATCAAGTTCTACTCGTATAAGTCTAGAATCATCGTATGAATAAGGAGCCAAATAAATCGTGTGTAGCCTCGTGATTATAAAGATGAATAAGAGGGCTAGTAGAGGATGATATATTAGCATGAGTGCGCCTAATGCAGGGTAAGGTATAAACTGTGTGGATGTGCTCTTGGCCTCATGACCTTTCGCTCGTCTCTATTTCCAAGTAATGCTTTAGCCGGCAGATCTACTGACAAGCGAGTCATGTAATTCGCGGATTATATTCCCTACTCCGTACAGTTGAGGTCGGTATCCATTATGATCCCACTTTTAAGATCGAATATTACTTGTGCCTCCAATCTGAGTCCTAATTAATTCTCTTTGTTGGTTAGATATTAGCGAAGATCAACCTCAAGGCACTGTGGCAAATATGACAAGTTACTCGCACAACTCACAGCTAACAGGCTTTTGTCAGGGAGCTGGACTCCCTTACAGAGTCGCAGTCGGTTGAAATAAGACCTGTGGTCGATCAGCGCAATAATCATCCGAGTTCATGTGGAGTCACCGAAAAAGCGAATTTACTTCTATATCGACATGGGGAAAATTAAATGCCATGGAGAGTTACATCGGGACTGCAAGAGGGCGACCCTGAACGAGAGCTCCGCCAAAGCTAGTCTCAACCCCGCACTCGGGCAGTTATTGTAGGTTTTTCCATGGTTCTGGGCCTATACACAGTGGGTTTGCAGGGGATTTCTGGTCAGGATTGATACTTGATATCAACAAATGGAGGTTCAGACCCACGGACCACGGATAAAACGAGTCACTATCTATAGGATAATGTTGCTCAAGTTTCATCTAGACATGTAAATTGGGGGTGAATGTACATGCTCCACCAGACGCCGAAGAGGTACTTCGTATTACTTCTAGAGCCACACTTGGGCTCGGTTGGAAAAATGAGCTTCGTTTGTTGCGACTAGCAAGTTTTTAGCCATAGCAGTGTTGCTTACAGGATGTTCTCACAACAAGAAATGCAGGTATGGGTAACCCAGTGCTGGGTTCTAGCGTCGTTGATCTTGCTATGCAGGTGAGGATTCCAATGTGGAGTCGGTTCCAAAGCTACCTCTCAGAGTATAAAGAGGGAACGAAATCCTCTCTTTAAACTCTATCCTAACCACCACTACTTTCATTCACTCATCAAGTCTGTTCAACATGGTTTCATTCACTTCCCTCCTCGTTGCTGCCTCAGCTTTCACTGGCGTCTTCTCTGCACCCAATGTCGATGTTGCAGAGCGTGCTCCAGGTGCTCTCTCTGAGCGTGCCGGAACTCCCTCCGCCACTGGATTCAACAACGGATTCTACTTCTCGTGGTGGACCGACGGCAAGGCTCAAGCCACCTACACCAATGGAGCTGCTGGTCAATACAGTATCAATTGGTCTGGCAACAACGGAAACCTTGTTGGAGGAAAGGGCTGGCAGCCAGGAACCGCAAACAGGTAAGCGAATATTCTCTTGACCCTTATGGGGACAAAATAGCTAATGGCAGGGCAGAGTGATCAAGTACAATGCTAACTACAAGCCGAACGGCAACTCGTACCTCTCCATTTACGGATGGACCAAAAACCCTTTGGTTGAGTACTACATCGTCGAGAGCTTTGGTACCTACAACCCCAGCAGTGGTGCTACCAAGAAGGGTACGGTCGTTGCTGATGGAGATACCTATGATGTCTACCAGGTAAGAGAACAATCTATCCATTATGGTGATGGAAGGAATGGATTCTGACATCGCATCACAGAGCACTCGCGTCAATGCTCCATCCATTAGCGGAACCGCTACATTCCAGCAATACTGGTCTGTTCGCCGCAACAAGAGAACCAGCGGTTCCGTCACTGTTGCCACTCACTTTGCTGCATGGGCCAATTTTGGCATGAAGCTTGGTAACACCTTCGACTACCAGATCGTGGCCACTGAGGGCTACTTCAGCAGTGGTTCAGCCACAGTCACAGTCTCGTAGATGTTGACTCTTGACAAGGAGTAATATATCACGACCGGTGATGGGTTAGAGTATTCTTGTATATATTGATGATAGTGATGGAGCTTCTTGTACATAAAATGAATGCAGCATGTGCTGATTGCAATGTCGTCTGGTTTTGGGCATTCTTCGTTATTCGAAATGAACATCTCTGTTTGCTCTTCGCTTTGATGCCCTTATCTGAGTGAAGTCGGAATTTGGTGACATATGACAGTCGAATGTCGAACAACGACAATGCCAATCCAGCTTGGCTACCAAAGATTTGGTGACTAGAAAGCTTTGAGTTCACTGCCATGGGCGTTTTCCTGAAATCTGGCCAAGCTGCCTTGAGAAACGGGCTACATCAACATCTTGCCTATTGCAAGGGCCGCCTTGGCTTCTTTTATGTGTGGCTCGTTGCACATGATATTGAGATTGAGATTGGATATTGAGAAGCGAGAAAGGTCTTCATCTTTCGCAAGTTTCGTACCTCACATAAATACATGCTTACTTCGTACCACGAAGAAACCTCGAGATCGCGCTCTAATCCGAGTCGTAGCCACTACCGTCATCGTCCTTGTCGTTGTCCTGGCTGTCGTCTGAAGAATCAAATGCAGTCCTAGGGCTGTGGTACTTCTCCCTGTCATCGATGATTTCTTGGTCCGTAGCTGCCTCTCTATCAAGTTCTTCTGCAAGCTCCAATTCAGCCATTTGTGCTTCGGAAAGCACATCTCTGTCAACTTCCATTGCTTTATTATATGCTTGTTCAGCGTCGGGGTCGAAATCCGCGCCAATATCCATCATAATATTCTCAACCGATCCACTGGTTCCAAATGGTGATAATTCACGTTCTTGCTCTTCTCGAAGCATGTTAGAAGGTTGAGACCAGTATAGCCATCGTCTGTTGGATGAAGTTTGGGTCGAAGACGATCTGGGGTACGAGGCGATGCAGCTGCTTTTCGACCAGGAGTACGTGCTCGAATCTCGGACCCCATATCGCTTACTACAGCCTCAAAATTGAATGTGGGCACTCTAGCTTTGCGTGGGCGTCCTGTTCCCATGGAGGGCGATTCGCTTCTTGACCCATCCACCCGTCTGTTGGGTG